CCCGCATCCCTGTCCCCATCCCGGTGCCCATCCCCATCCTTGTCCCTGTTTCCATCTGCATCCACATCCCCATCCCAATCCCTGTCCCCGTCCCTGACCCCATCCCCATCCGAATCCCCATCCACATCCCCGTCCCCATCCCTATCCCTATCCCTGTCTCCATTTGCATCTGTATCTGTGACCCCATTCCCATCTGCATCCCCATCCTCATCCCAATCCCTGTCCCCATCCCCATCTGAATCCCCATCCATATCCCTGTCCCCATCCCAATCCCCATCCCACTCAGTCCCCATCGCCAGCACGGCCTGTGCTGCCTCGAGGTCCCCACCCCATCACCACCACTCCCAGCAGCCTGGGCAGCCCGAGCGAGTTCCGCCCGGGCATCACATCACCCCAGGGAAGGGGGGTGCAGGGGGCATCAGCACACCCAACACACCCCTCCACCTCCCTGGTGCCACTTGCCCCGGTCACACCCGGCTGGGCATACGCCAGTGTTCGGGGAGAGCTGCCTGTGCCGTGGGCGCCAGCAGAGCCTGGCAGAGAGGAGCGGTGGACGTGCAGCTTGGAGTCACCAAACTGATGCCTAAGCAGTTTTGCCCATCTCCTAGGTCGGGGTTCCATGTTCATCAGCAACCACAAACCAGTTGAGGATATTTTAGGATATTTGTTAGGAAATATAAGTAACTAACAGTTACAGGATAAACCGCAGAGCACCATGGCAACCCACTCATGGAAATGCTAATAACTGGGACGTAAGGTGGGTGATTAACCTATCAAAAGCAGAACCCTAACATTAAGTTGGGTGCAGATCTATGCAGAGAAAAATGAAGTGTTCCCACTGTGAACCTGCACAAAAGCAGTGCGGCATTAGCAGCTGCAGCCCTGGCAGGGTCTGCGGACAGGGAGTAGTGGAGGGTGGCCCCCGCTGCTGCCCCTCTGCCCCCTGCTGCAGCACAGAGCAGCAGTGGGATGGGGGGTGATTCTGCTTCTCCCCTTCCCTTTGTCGGAGCGTAGCTGTGTTGTTTGGCTTGGCTTTGCAACGGGAGTTATAAATAAAAATGTCTCACCAAGAGTGCGTGACTCACGGTCCTCACCACAAGGATAACCTCTCTGCTAGGAAACCTGATCCGAGGACCGAACTGCGGCATGCAAGAATCAAAGACATTGCTTAATTAATATATTTAATCCAAATGGCGAACAGATGAGCCCCTCACCCCACCTGGCCTGGGCTGCTAGGGAAGGTGCCTGTGCCCCTCTGGACCCCTGTCCTGTGCCATCCCCTACCTCCGGCTGCCGACAGCCCAGCCCTCGACCTGCTCCAGAGCCTGGTGGTTTCCCTCGGATGGCAGTGGGGAGCTGCAGCAGTGGCTGACATGGCCTCAAGCAGCTCCAGCCTCAGCGTCACCTCCTGCCACCCTCCAAGGGAGCAGCTCCTGGGTGCTGGTGTTGCCTCACCCTGCTCAGGCGGGGTGGGACGTGGGGATGTGCTGAGGCATCACCCCTCGCATGGAAGACTGTGTCAGCCCTGTGCACTAGGACACAGCCATGCTTGTGGCCTGCCTCCGC